CATCAAATGATTTTATTTTTAAATCTGCTGATCATCAAAATGATTAAAATGTGGTTCAAATAATCAGAAGGGCTCATGAGCTAATTTTATGATTGAAAAAGTGTATGCATAAATCCTGGTGATTCTGTTCAAATTAATTATCCAAAAGAAAATTAAATGCATCTGGCTCATCTATTCTTGACGCATATGAGATTGAACTAAGAGTCAGTAATTATAATGCTGTAGTAGTGTCAAGTAAATAATAATGAATTGATTCGAACTGAAACAGCAATTCATTAAACATTGCAACAAGATGAATTTAGGACCATTTGTAGGAATATATGAAAAGCAAACATGAAATCTATTTGACAGAAAATACTAATGTTTTCCTTTTAATAGAATTCATCAGTTCAGACTCTATTCAAATAAAGGCAGATTTGTGCATTAATAATGTATTCATCAAGTATAAAATGAGGAAAAAAATGATATCCAATGCAGAGGGACAATTCACTGAGTGTTTATCTTGATCCCAGAAAATAAGCAACAAAGGATTCGAGCTGGGTCATCAGCTCCAGCTAAGTTGGTGCGAAAACTATTGCCACAGATCCTGCATAAGTCCTAAGTTCCATGCCACTCTTGGTCCATTTCTCAGGAGGTGAAGTATCAGGTCTACTGGCACTCTGATAGCCAATGATGTCTATTAAGTTATATTAAGTTCTATTAAGGCCTTTTCTTGGAGGCCAACTAGGAAGTTCACTTCAATCTCTTTGTCGAGGCAGTAAGCACCAGTTCAGTGCCTCCGAAGTGGCCTCCCAATTACAAAATGGCTTTGGAGCCCTCCTTTCCTGCCTGAGTATGATAGCGGCTCCAGATCACCTTTTTAGAGGGGTTTCTTCTTAAGTAGCAAGTAATGTTTGATCCACACAAATGCCAGAGAATAACCATTTTCATTGACAGAATCAATCACCTCCTCATGACATCGCTGAAACAATGCCATCAAAATCCTGGGAGGGTTACTATTGACCAGAAACTGAACTGAACCAGCTACATAAATGACTTTGTGAACATAGTCAGTATGGTTCGTAAGTTTGCAGATGACACCAAAATTGGAGGTGCAGTGGACAGTAAGGAAGGTTACCTTAGAATACAACATGATCTTGATCAGATGGGCCAATAGGCCAAGAAGTGGCAGCAAGAGGTTAATTTAGATAAATATGAGGTGCTTCATTTTGGAAAGGTGAATCAGGGCAGGACTTACACACTTAATGGTAAGGTCCTGGGGAGTGTTGCTGAACAAAGACACCTTGGAGCGCAGGTTCATAATTTCTTGAAAGTGGAGTCGCAGGTAGATAGGATAGTGAAGAAAGTGTTTGGTACGCTTGCCTTTGTTGGTCAATGCATTGAGTATAGGAGTTGGGAGGTCATGTTGTGGCTGTACAGTGCATTGGTTTGGCCACATTTGGAATATTGAGTGCAATTCTGGTCTCCCTGTTACAGGAAGCATTTTGGGAACCTTGAAAGAATTCAGAAAATATTTACAAGAAGTCTCAGGGTTGCAGTGTTTGTGCTATAGGGAGAGGCTGAATAGGCTGGGGCTTTTTTCCCTGGAGCGTCAGAAGCTGAGGAGTGACCTTACAGAGGTTTATAAAATCATGAGGGGCATGGATCGGGTAAATAGCCAAGGTTTTTTTTCCCCCCGGGTGGGGGAGTCCAAAACTAGGTTTAAGATGAGACAAGAAAGATTTAAAAGAGACATAAGAGGCAACATTTTCATGCAGAGGGTGGTGTATGTATGGAACCAGCTGCCAGAGGAAGTGGTGGAGGATGGTTCAATAACAACATTTTAAAAACATCTGGATAGGTCTATGAATTGGAAGAGTTTAGAGGGATATGGGCCAAATGCTGGCAAATGGGATACTTTAATTTAGGATATCTGGTCGGCATGGACAAGTTGGACCAAACAGTCTGTTTCCGTGTTGTAAAAGTCAATGACTCTGTGACTCTAATTCTGAGGTAAGTAACACCCCGCCTGACTCCCCAAAGCCTATTGATCTAAACCAGAAGAGATATGACATCTTCTCCAATTCCCTCGAGAAAAGTGTGGCTCCAGAAACACTCAAGGAGGTGCAAGAATAACAGATCCAACAATCAAGAATAATCAAACCTTCTGATTGGAAACTCATGCAGCACCTTAAATGTTGACTCCCACCATCACTGATGCAGAGTGACTACTGTGTGCCATCTGCAAAGACACACTGCAGTAACTCACCAGGCCTTCATCAACACTATCTTCCAAACTCATCACCTCTACCAGCTAGATGCATAAATGAATGGGAAATCATCTGCAGGCCCCTCTCTAACTCGCAGACCATCCTGACATATTATTTTTCTTCATTGTTTCAACGTCAAAAATGTTGCAGTCCTTTCCTAACATTCCTTCTCAATCAGCAATGAGCAACAAATGTTGGCTGGGACAGAGATGCTCACAGCACAAGAGCAAAAAAGTGCACTGGTTTAAGTGGAACTGGTGACTGTTCACTTAAATTTCCAGAAGGCATTTGATAAGATGCTACATCAAGGTTTATTGCAGAAAATAAAGGCACATGACAAGGAGGAAAACATTCTTTTGGTTGACGAACAAGAAGTGAGGAATAATCATTATTGGGTTTCTTTCTGGTTAGCAAGATGGAAATAGCAGAGATCCACAGGGATGTGTGCTGGACCATCAATTGTTTACAATTTATATATGTGGGTCCACAGAGCATCATTGCCAAATTTGCTGATGACACAATGATAGACAGGAAAGGAAGTTGTGAATAGGATGTAAGGAGGGTACAAAAGGATACTGCTGGGTTAAATGAGTGGGAAAAGAGACAGCAAGTGGAGTATAATGTAGGAAAATATGAACATTGTCCATTTTGGCATGCAGAATATATAAGTATATTATCTGAATATTGAACAATTTCAGAACTCTGAGATGCAGAAGAACCTTGCTGAGCTCTGCATGAATCACAGAAGATTAATATGCAGCTACAGCAAGTAATTAGGAAAGCTAATAGAATGTTATCATTTATTGTAAGGGGTATTAAACACAAAATTAGGGAAGTTCTGCTTCAATTATCCAGGCAATAAGATGAATTCAAGACTATGTGCAGAAATATATGTGAAATCAATGCAATGGTCTGAACTGGGCATATTAACAAAACAGTTCGCCTTGAAAAATAGAAGAAAACATTAAGAATGCAGCATTTCAGAGCAAGTGAGTTTTCAATTGTTTTCAATTCAATAAGTATGACCAAACAAATACACTCGATCTTCAAAAGTTAATTTTACAAGCAGAGATTAATTCCTCAGGATATAATTGAAGTTGAAGATGTAAAAATTAAGATATCCGAGGTAAATGATTAGAAACATCACTTTGCCTCTGTACTACTAATGTTATTCCTGTAGAATAAAAAGGACCCTGACAGCAAGTACACAAAGTTGATTGAGTGACAGCAAATGGAAAGTAGCATTGAACTGTTGTTTGTCAAACTGGAGGAAACTATAGAGTGAGATTCCCAGGGACTGGTGTTAGGGCATTGTTCTTTTTTTGCCTTAATGCGCTAGACTGGAGTCTGCAGCACACAGTTTCAGAATTCATAATTTCAGCTGACAGAAAACTTGCAAGCATTGTGAACTTGGGAGGAAGATAGTGACGGATTTCAAACAACATCGGCATGCTGATGGAATGTGGCAAATTAAACATAATATTGAAAAGCATTAAGTGCTCCATTGTGGTAGGAAAACACTGAGGAGAGGAAATACAAAATAAAGGTTACAGTTCTAACTGGAGTGTTGCAGCAGAAGGTCTTCGGATTTCTGTGCAGAAATTGTTGAAGGTGGCAAGGCAAATTGAGAAAGCAGTTTGCAAGGTATAAACAAGCCTACAATGAAAACAAACACACAGGTTTGGCCTCAGCCACGTGTCTAATTTTTGGCATCACACATTAGAATGGATGTGAAAGATTTACAGAGAAAAAGAACATTCCAAGGATGACGGAGTTTGCAACTAGATTGGAGAAGCTGTGGCTATTACTCCAATGAAGAGAAGCTTGATGTGAGATTTGAAAAAAGATTACTGGACAGTTCTGGAGAGTGTAGATAAGGAGCAATTGTTCCCATTTGTGGAAGGGTTGAGAACTAGAAAACACTGATTTTACGCGAATGATAAAAGATCCAAATTCAATACAGGAAAAATTTATTTGAGGCAGCAAGTGGTTAGAATCTGGAATGCCCTGCCTGAGAGAGTAATGGAAGCAGACTCTATTGTGGGGCTTTTCAAAAGGGGACTTATTATTTATTATATATCATTATATATAAGAATTATTTGAAGTAAAATGAATTACTTGAAGAGAAAACAAAAATTCCAGGGCTACAGTGAAAGGGTAGGGCAGTAGACTAACAAAGTTGTTCTTGCAGAGGCCCAGCATTGACCTGCCTCATGCAGGAAGTAATCAGGGCATTTAGATATATGAAGTTATCATGTCCAAAGTAAAATGCTAAATGCAGTAAAAACTGACAGGTTTAAGTTGTATGTTTCTTTTTTTAACTCATTGTAGCTGATGCTTAAAACCCTGTATGTATTTTAAAATAGGAATTTGATTGAATAATACTGTTTTAGGTGCAAACGTACAATTCACAATGAATCCTAGGTCTCCAAACTTATTCGACGACATGAAATAGATTATTAGTTTACTAAGTCACCAAAAATGTAAAGAAAATAACAATATCAACATTTAAGTAGATTATGAATGAATTTAACTTTCTTCATAAATTTTGATTTGGCAGCCTGATTTAAAAACAGAACAAATAAAATTGGATATAATGTTAAAGAATGCAGCAATAGTTCCTGCATAGGGTATAAACAAGACTGGATTTGAATGAGCAAAGTAGACTATTATTAAAGGAAAGGAAGAGACAAATAGATATCAATGTCAATGAATTCGTTCTGATCAAGTGCAAAAATTTAAAACATTTACCCATATTCTCCAAATGTTTCTTCTTTCATTGGTTGGGCCTCAGGATCTGCCCGAGCATCTTCTTTATCTTTAACTGTGAAGGAAAATGAATAACACATGAGCATGTCAGATGTTTAATTTTGCCGGCTGTTTTTTAGTTCTAGACCCTAGAAAATTGAGAAAATGTAATAAAGGAAATATCAAAATTAAGACTTGTTGTTCATCTCTGGTCTCGTACTTTAAAAGGCAAAAGCACTTTGTTGAATCGCCAATTAATTCTAATTGTAATTAACAACTATGCTACTTTTAATTTATTGTGATTCAGCAATCTTTTCTAGTCATGTCTTTCTTATTGTCAAACAATTAGTCGAACACAGTCAGAAAGCAAACAAGTTTATGCAGAAATGCCTTGCAATGACAATGATTTACATGTTTTCTGCTTAGTGATATTGAATTGAATTGAATTAACTTTATTGTCACCTGTACTCAAATGAGTACAGTGAAAAGTTTATAAGTTGCCACTTACAGCACCATCTGAGGTGCAAAGGTACCAGGTACAATTCTTAGTTACACAACGGAGAAACTAAGAAAAAAAAAAGTTACGTAACAGCTATGCACAGTATAACCATAGGTCAAAAAACAAGAAGCAAAGTTAAAAAGACAAACATCATTGTCTCTCTTCAAAGGCTGTACGCAGCAGACCATCTGATATGGCAGGAAAGAATTATTTCATAAAATTCTGTTGTCAAGTTGCCTTTGATAGGCAAATTGTAAGGTATTAAGTAACAAAGAAGAACCAAAAGTTCTCAAAGCTGAATAGTTATTTACAGGTGAATGACATTTGTATAGAATATAATTAGATAGGCATACTTTGTAAAAATGCTTTTGTCATTTTTAGCATTACCGATAATCATTGTTCTGAATGGAATGACACATTGAAATGTATCTTGTCTTTCACATGTGCACAAGATTTGGCAGAAATTTGTGCACAGTACAACAAGACAAAAAAAGTGTTATCAGGCCTACTGGGTTTGCATATAATTATAGACAAAATATAATGATCTGTCTTTGATTCCCAAAATGGCTCTCCTTAAATGAAAATGTGAAGCATCAGAAATTTGTTTAAGATAACAAGGTGTAGAGCTGGATGAACACAGCAGGCCAAGCAGCATCACAGGAGCAGGAAGGCTGACGTTTCGGGCCTCGACCCTTCTTCAGAAAAGAAATTT